AAAATCCTGAATGCAAATCTACTGCAATTAAAGCATTTTCTCTTGCAAATCTCTAGTGATTAAAGATCTTTCTAAAGATTTTCATCCTAGTGAATTGTTTTCTCTTTTAATTAGAGTTGCATTTTTTATATCACAATTTTTGTCAATCTCGTTACAGTGAACAAATAATACAGTCACAGAAATAATGACTTCTATTATCTGAAAAAATCTTAGATTAAAATCTCTTTTCTGCAAAGTATATAAAATGCTGATGTCTTTTAACGATATCACATTGAATAATTTTCAAGAAGAAATATCGCATACTGTTTCAAAAGCAGTTTCTTTCATCCTTAGACAAACATCTACCATTTTTCTGTTAAAGCAGTCATATGTTCAGAAGTTGACTTGTTAAAGACTGCAATTGTCTGAGCTGTCGTTACAGGAGGCATAATGTTGGTGAGTCGATATTTTAAAGTAGAGAACGCCGTATTGTTGAATGAGAGAAGCAATCAGTTGATATACATATCAATACATCTCTAAACAATACCTGGCGACCATGTTTAGATTAAAAATCTGACATTCCAGAGATCTCAGCAGTTGTTGTAACAGCAGCAAAAGCATTTTGCGAAATCAGCAGAAATTTCTAGTCACATTGATACGGATTTTTATTTTACTTCAAACGGAATTTTGCGACGATGAAACGAGGTGAGAAAAGAAAAAATATCTCGAATTACATATAATGTGATTTTTTCGTTCAACTAAAATGCTCATGAAACGAACACTCATTGGTAGGCTTTCTTCTATCAATAAATCATAAGAATATATATATATATATATATATATATATATTAGTTTTCCCAGCATTCTTAAAAAATTTTTTCCGTTTGTTGGGAGTAAGGAAGTACAAAAACTGTCTATATATTGATTGTTCCAAGCACTTCCGGTCATATCTTTAGCCATTTTCACTCACACCAAACGAAAAAATGTAAGGACGCTGGAAAAACTAAATATATAAAAAATAATAAAATTTTCGTTGTCCGTCATATCTAACGATATATATATATATATATATATATATATATATATATATATATAATATTTCTGAAGCAGGCATTTATAAAATAAATTGTCAAAACTGTTCCTCCCGATATATTGGAGAAACAAGTAGAAATTAAAAAAAAATAACGCCTTTTATGAGCCCAAAAGGGACCTCACAAAAAACAACTTAGGTAATGCACTAGTCATACATGGAAATAAATTCAACTACAATTTTGATTTTAAAAATGCTTCACTCATAAAAAAGAAAATAACTCACTCAGAAGGAAAATCCTCGGGAGTGCCGCCATTGAATATTACCCAAATATTAATCTACGCCCCTGCTTTTTCCCTATTTCACCTTTCTTAACAGAATTACTACTCTTCCAAACAAACGTAGAGAACAGTATCAAGAAATCAAAAGAAAATGGTTGAATCCGTCAAAACAATATCTTCACACGTGACAGTAAATGGCGTAATTTTCAGTTAACAGTATGAAAATAGCTTTCTCAAAATTCTTGCAGTTGCTAAGGACATTTTGTTTTGTAATTATTAGTTACTTTGTTTATATATATATATATATATATATATATATATATATATATATGGGGGGGAGAGAGAGAGAGAAAGAGAGTGTGTAGGTGAGTATAATCCCGGCTATTTAAATGGTAATATTAAAATCCATAAATCCAACTCACCACTCATTTACGTATATATATATATATATATATATATATATATATATATATATATATATATATATATATACAAGGTCTGATGAAAAAGTATCGAGTCCATTGTTTAATGGTAAGAGAGCTAAGGTATGCAGAGTGAAATCTCTTGGACACAGATTGACACGGAACGTTCTCTTTCCGGTGCGCATTAAATTAAAACCTTCTCGCCCACTTCCGTTGTTTATAGCAGTTATTTGGAAGTGTGTAAAATGTTATATCGTCTCACCACACCGCTAAGATTTCATCAGTGACCATGGCTTGTGCAGCAATTTTTTTACGCCAAGAACAACAATCCCCAGGCCCGACAACCATCATATTTCCAAGTTCCCGCCCCTTACAACTTTCTAAAAGTCAAATACCACTTGAAAGGAAGAAACTTTCAAGATGTCAAAGAAATCCAAGAGAATACGACAAGGCAACAACTCGCTATCCCCCCCAAAAAGAGATCTAGAATTGCTTTTCAATGGGAATGACGCCGGATAAAGTGTCTGGGTTGAGTAGGCGACAATTCGAAGCTGATTAAATTCTGAATTGCTATGCGTTGTCATTTTATTTGGCAAAGGTAATTTTAGATTTTGTCGTGTAATTTATATGCTCTCTTATAATAAATACATTGAACTCTTTTTGTAGATCAGTTTGAATGTTTTATATTACTAGAATACACTTGAATTTTATACCAACGGATTTATTACCTGTACTATATATATATATATATATATATATATATATATATATATATATATATATATAAACCTTAACATGCACACGCTTAACCTGGAGTCAAATCCATTACAGTCCTCTCTCTGTAACCCCACTCTCTCACTGAGCGTACACCTTCTCTTTTACCTTTCTCCAACACCACTCTCTCATTAAATATATGCTCACTTGTCCATCTGTCGACTGACCCCACCCTCGCCTCCACATTCAGTTTTAGAGGCATTGACATAGAGTCCAGCATCTTTGTTAGCATTTTCGAGATGATGTAGAAGAACTGTGACATTTGTATGGTGCCTGCAGTGATAGCTATGTCATCTGCATAGTCAATATCTGTCAAATTTTTTGCAGTATATCGACTTCAGGTTCTTGAAGATAAAGTATAACCAAGATGATAATGTTTGTCAAGGGAAGTTCTCAATACATAATCAAGGAATCTATCTCTCTTTTTAAAGACCGTCCTGAGTATGACGATAAACTACATCCGGCAGCAAGGCCTTTGATCAGGATATTTTGAGGAGCGTGGAATCACCTCTTAATTGCTGGTGTTCCCCAGTCCACTCTGGCCCCGTGTGGTAGCACCTGTCAGGGTCCCAGCTATGGATAAGTAGTTAACCCCCAAAATGGTGTCAAAACACTGTGAAAGTGTAAAAATAGGTTTTAATACCAGCAATACATTTTTTTCAAAAAATATTACTAGCAATAAAAATTTTTGTCGGCATTAAATAACCCATTGAAGTTGATAAGCAGTAAACCAAACCAAACCAAACCAAACCAAACGTTCTAAAGAAGTTCAATTTATATCTGCCTTTTTATATATTTATTCATTTTCTCATTATATCAAGCCCCCATATCCGTCTCTCCAGGCTTTTCTTTAAAAACTTTCACGACCGCTATTATTTTATATATAATGCCAAACGAAAAGCATACAAAATCAACGAAACCAAAACACTAAAAGAAGGTACAAATACAGCAACTAGGTACATGATCTAAAAACATGCCAAATAATAAACTTGCGAAAAATTTAGTTAATCTCAATATAAAAATTATCAGAAACAGTTCTTTAAAGAATTAAGAATTTAATTAAAGTAAAAGAACTTGACATCAGAATCAGGATCCATTACTTTAACTAATTCAGTCGTGATAATTAGGATTATGCGTTTTTTTTCCAATCCAGTCGAATCCATTGCATTCACGTACGTGCTAATACTCCTGGGAAAGGTATGAATCCTCCTTCTCACACACCCCTATGGGTAAATCGCAGGAGAGACCGAGTTCTATAGCCTTGGATGGCAACTGGTCTACTGTAGAATGAAATCGCAACCCACTTCGGAAAAAAATCTGCCTCATCAGTCATGTATCGAAAGATACATGATCGTCTAAGCGTGTATCCCGCATGGCACATAACTGACTGACTGAGTTTTTTTTTTTCTATGAGAAAAGCCAACGCAGATTTCGTCTCAAAAATACCAAAGAGCCATCAAATACAATATTCAGAGCTTCGGTAAATAACGTAATACTCTTACATGTAAATAGCGTAATACTCTTACATGTAAATAAACGTAATACTCTTACATGTAAATAACGTAATACACTTACATGTAAATAGCGTAATACTCTTATATGTAAATAACGTAATACTCTTATATGTAAATTGCTTAATACTCTTACATGTAAATAGCGTAATACTTTACATGTAAATAAACGTAATACTCTTACATGTAAATAACGTAATACACTTACATGTAAATAGCGTAATACTCTTTATATGTAAATAACGTAATACTCTTATATGTAAATTGCTTAATACTCTTACATGTAAATAGCGTAATACTCTTACATGTAAATAAACGTAATACTCTTACATGTAAATAACGTAATACACTTACATGTAAATAGCGTAATACTCTTATATGTAAATAACGTAATACTTTATATGTAAATTGCTTAATACTCTTACATGTAAATAGCGTAATACTCTTACATGTAAATAAACGTAATACTCTTACATGTAAATAACGTAATACACTTACATGTAAATAGCGTAATACTCTTATATGTAAATAACGTAATACTCTTATATGTAAATTGCTTAATACTCTTACATGTAAATAGCGTAATACTCTTACATATAAATAGCGTAATACTCTTACATGTAAATAACGTAATTCTTTTATATGTAAATAACGTAATACACTTACATGTAAATAACGTAATTCTCTTAAATGTAAATAACGTAATACTCTTATAGGTAAATTGCGTAATACTCTTACATGTAAATAACGTAATACTCTTATATGTAAATAACGTAATTATCTTACATGTAAATGACGTAATACTCTTATATGTAAATAGCGTAATACTCTTACATGTAAATAACGTAATACACTTACATATAAATAACGTAATACTCTTATATGTAAATAAGCGAATTAAATTATTTAATTATCTTGATATTTCTTCGTCTTCCTTTTCGGTTTCCCGTTTTTTATTCAAAACATTTCATTCCATATTTCTTTCTATATTTCTTATTTTAAGCTCTTCCCACACAGATATTTTTTTCTTTTTTTTCTTTTTCCTTTTATGTGAATTCTCTTCTTTCATTCTTTGGCTGTCTTCTTCCTTCTTACTTGTTCCTTTCTTCTTCTTTTTTTACTCCTTTCCTTATTTTTTCCGTTCATTTGATATTATTTTTTTTCCTTTTTTTCTTTTTTCTTCCTTCATTCCTTACACTTTTCTTTTTTCCTCTCCTTCTTTCTCTTCCTTCCATCTCTCCTTCGTTTTCTTTTCTTTCTTCGTTTTTTTCCCTTCTTCATACCTCTCTTTTTTGTCCTTTCTTTCTTAACTTTTTCTTCATTATTTCTTCTCTCTTTTCTGTTTTCTCTCTTTCTAACGTTTCCTTTATTTTTCTCCTTTTCTTTCTCCTTTCTTACTCTCCTTTTTTCTTTACTTTCCTTTCCCTTTCTTTTAATTTCCTTTCTTTTCCTATTCCTTCTTTTATAAACTACCCACTATTTCATTCTTTCTTTCTCCCATTCTTCTTTTTATTTTCCTCTTTCTTTTCTTCTTTTTCATTCACGATATTCCTCTTTTCTCCTTCATTCTTTCTTTCTTTTATTTCTTTCACCTTTCCCTCTTTTCTTCTTTTTTCATTCTTCCTGTCTCTCTTCTTTGTTCTTGCTTTTCTTACTTTTCTTCTCTCCCTTTTCCTGCTCTCTTTTTCGTCTTCTTTCTTTCTTTGTTCCTCCCTCCTCCCATTTCTTCATTTCTTTCTTTATCCTTTTTTCATTTTGGTTTCTTTTCATTCTTTTATTTCATTTCTTTGAATTTTATACTTTCATTCAGATCCAGTTTTCCTTTCTTTTTCATTTTCATTCTTCCGGTTTAGTCGACTCTCTTGTTTGTTTTTTTTTTCCTTCATCCACACATTCCTTCAATCATTCATTCACACTTACATTCATTCTTTTTATATATGTGTGATATCAACCTCTTGCTTCCGCCATTGTCCAACACAGACGGCAAATAACTTTTCTGCAAAATAAACAAATAAATAAATATGGGATAATTTTTTTTTAAAAATTCATCGAATGCCGGCCACATCAAAGCCAAAAAAAAAAAAAAAAAAAAAAAATCCCAGTTTTGTTTTTAAACATTAAACAGCCGCTTTATTTTATCTTTCCGGAACAAAATGTCGGTTATTCCAGTCTATTGTGTAACGTCTGACACCTCCTTTATCAAATAGTTACAAACCAACGGACGTCCTTTTGATGAGTTGGCAAATTTTTACAGTTACCGGCTGCCAAGGCCCAACCAAGTTCGACACGCAAACGTCAGCAGATTTTTTTCCTGTATTTGTGGTCAATACTTGTTAAAAAATCTATCATGAAAACTCATTCGTTTTTCAAACTAACAATGGAGATTTTTGTTATTGTTTTTTTTAAATAAAGGCACAAGATTCGAATAAATCGAAAGTCTAAAATTCAAAGAAAAAAAACGTAAAGAATGAAAATAAAAATGGAAAAAAAAAGAGAAAAAATGTAGTGTTTTTATAATCAACGCAAAATACAAAGAACATACAATTCCTGGCAGCATTTTAATTTAAATTAATTTTTTACAGATCGCGACAACTATCAGAGGTGAAATTTAAATTTTTACTAATGCATTATTCCAAAATTTTAACACATTAGCAGATAGCTATTAATGTCAACAACTGAATAGTTATTAATTAAAAAAAATAGTAATTAATGTATATTATCCATAACTACATGTACAAGAATATCGTTTTTGATAAGTTAAAAAATAACCATAAATACGTAAAAAATGCGTATATTGTCGAAGATTCCTGTTCCACAATATAGCTATTTGTGTTATGTTACAATAATTATTACCTAAACAATAATATTACTGAATAATGCTTTCTAAGCTTTAAAATATATTTAATTACATCTCCCTAGTAGCTGTCGCGATCTGTTAGTAGATGATAACAACCATTATTATTAATTTTTGAGTACTATATACTTCCATCTTCATTTTTTTATTACTTGATGCATTGGAAAAATTATTAGTAATCTTAATTTTTATAATTGTCAAACATTACTATTTGACAAGTAATACTTTCATCTTAATATTTATAAGATGAAGCGTTGACAGCCATTATTATTTAACTAATGTTTACTGCCATCTAAATTTTCATTAAATAATGTATTATTAACCATTATTATTTGATAAGCAGTTATTTTCTTCTTCATTTTTTATTAGATGAAGCATTTCATCCATTATTATTCATATAGATTGCTATTTCATATTAATTTTAGCTGCTTTTCATTAGAATTTTACACAAAGTGTCAATCCCCGTATTGCCGTGGCAACACAGTATCGTAAATAAAGGATACGTTCTATATGATTATAGATAGATATATTCTACATTTCAATATGAAATTCGAATGGGTGCTCGAGTAATGTTATGATAACAAAATAAGATATAAATCTATTTGTTAAACGAATTGACACAGAGGCCACCACAATGTGGCGACAGTCTGCTTCATACGTGAAAGCGATCTTCAGGCCATTGTGTTGTGTGATCGCTCGACTATTTATATATGCTGTTCAATGGGGTATTATGGTCGTCAAGGTCAGGTATTTCTAGTTTATTGTATACTAAAGGTTACTGGATAGACGGCAACAAATATAATGTTGTTTCTTAACCTGTATGATGTCGTTTAAGTTTTAATTCATTATTTATTATTGATTTTTTAGGGTATTTTGTATTCATTCATAATTTATTTGTTGCTGATTATTATTATTAAATTTACTTAGTTGATGTTATGCAAGTATTCATACATTGTTAATTTGTTTATATATTTACTTAATTTCTTTATATATTTATTATTCTACTTATTTATTTTTCCTTTAGGAGTGGTAGATATCTTTGTCTAGTTTAAAGTATATTTTACCATATATACATATATAAGTATAAGATTTATCGAACATTCATATATATACATACATACGCACACACAGACAGACACACACACAGACAGACAGACAGACACACACACACATACATATATATATATATATATATATATATATATATATATATATATATATATATATATATATATATATGAATATGAGTTTCAGATAGAGTATATATATGTAAAAGAACAATATGACTAAAGATAAAAGGGACTCTCTTTCAGCTTCTCGCTTCCCAGTCAATTTTGAGCTTCAAAAATTTAACTGAATGGCAATCGTTATGTTCTGTCTTCTTAATTCTTGTTCTTTTATTGTTCTCTCTCCGTAATAGTGTTTTTTCTTTCTTATTTTCCAGTGGCTTTATTGCCTTGCTTGGGATGAAATGGTTAAAAAAAATGTCAACTGTGTTCGCAATCGTTCCGTAGGCGGAAAACTGTTTAGATTTTAGCATTAATTACAGTTTTGTCTTATTTTTTCCTGGGGATATTTTACTTGAATATTGCTTTTCATCCTGTGATATACACTTATGTAAAAAAAAATGTAAATTAATCTTTATTTGTAAATAAATCTAAAAGATATAGACCATAAATCTAAAAGATATAGATCATAGAAACATGTATTTGATTAAAACAATATAAATATATACCTGAATATATTATTTTACTGATACTTTTTACATGTTAATATGAACTCTTTGACATTCTATTACCTTCATCAGTTTTTCATTCATCGACTTTGTTAAGTATCTATCTATATTTCTGAGATAAGGTATTATGTACACTATTTACATTATTTGGACTATTGTCCTCATCTTTGTCGCCATATTTATTACAACATTTCAGCCTTGTAATATCTGTCTATATTTCTGAGATGAGGTATTATGTACACTATTTACATTATTTGAACTATTGTCCTCATCTTTGTCGCCATATTTATTACAACATTTCAGCCTTTTAGTATCTATCTATATTTCTGAGATGAGGTATTATGTACACTATTTACATTATTTGGACTATTGTCCTCATCTTTGTCGCCATATTTATTACAACATTTCAGCCTTTTAATATCTATCTATATTTCTGAGATGAGGTATTATGTACACTATTTACATTATTTGGACTATAGTCCTCATCTTTGTCGCCATATTTATTACAGCATTTCAGCCTTTTAGTATCTGTCTATATTTCTGAGATGAGGTATTATGTACACTATTTACATTATTTGGACTATTGTCCTCATCTTTGTCGCCATATTTATTACAAAATTTCAGCCTTTTAGTATCTGTCTATATTTCTGAGATGAGGTATTATGTACACTATTTACATTATTCGGACTATTGTCCTCATCTTTGTCGCCATATTTATTACAACGTTTTGGCCTTTCAGTATCTGCCTATATTTCTGAGATGAGATATTATGTACATTATTTACATTATTCGGGCTATTGTCCTCATATTTGTCGCCATGTTTATTACAACGTTTCAGCCGTTGTACGCTCCGGCCTTCTTCAGGTGGTTGGAATGTAGAACTGAACCTTTTATTTTGCTCACTGGGGTAGACTGTTCTAGTTCCACGTGCCATCTCCTGTTAATTCCCCTCTGAAAGTTTTATCCACTGTGCCATGTTTCCTCGAGGATACATAGCACAGTGGAGAAAGGTGTTTGTTAGATCTAGTGACAGGACTCAAAGAGTGTGAGTTCAATACCCGGTTAAGGCAGTGGAGAACTTAGGGATGTCAGGTTTTATTATAAAAACAAAAGGCAACATGAATTTTTATTTATAAATAAATCAAAAAGATATTGATCATAAAAGAATGATTATTTGATTAACACAGTATGAAAATATACCTGACTATATTATTACCTGTTAATATAAGCCACTTGACATTCTATGACCTTCATTAGTCTTTTAATCATTGACTGTTAACTTTACGACTGTTTCAAATTTAACATTACTTTTTATTAATATTTCGAGATATTTGTTTCAATATTGTTTTCTATTTTCCTGTATATCTCTTTTAATGATAGGCCAAAAGTTGGATTCGTATCTAGAAATGTTGTTGACCATTCCATTAACACAACATCCCATATTTATTGCTGCCACATATGATCCGTTACCCCTGCCATTTTCCTTGCACTCCTTAATGAAAATCCAAAGAATCAGCCATAATATTGGTCCATAGGGTTGCTTCTGTTCTTTTTCTATAAATACTTTCATGGTAAGTGTTTTTAATTGTTGTTTTATCCAAGAAACAATGAATTGTACATATGGGAACTAGTTAGGATTTTCATAGAGACAATGAGGTATTATGGTGAATGTTATAAAAAAGGTAAGTAAGAATGTATTATTTTGGCTTTAGGGTATGCTTGGGTCAGTGTTTGTAACTAGCTAAGTTTAAAGTTAAGACAGATGATGACCGTCCTTTTCCCGATTTCCCATTTTGGCATTGGCCACATTTTGTAAATATTTACAAATAAATATCGCTCTTCGCTCTGGTACCTAGAGTTTTGAATTTAAGCACACTACTAGACTGGCGTCAAGATCTCATCAATTTTCAGTTGAGTAGGCTAGATGTAGTCGTAAATTCTATGCTAACAGTTTCTTTTTTAGTATTTCTCGCTTGCGGAACCCCCTTCTGGCTTCATGTTTTCCAGCCACCTGCAATCTGAAAAAAAAATGCTATGTCAATCGCTATCTACTGTCTCCCCGTTTACTCTTTTTCTCTTCTCGCTCATTATTAGTGCATCTGTTACTAATTCTTCCACACATTATAATCTCTTGTCTTAGTGGCTTTCCTGCCTTGCATGTGGTGATACCGATTAAATAAATAAAAATATACTTGAATACGT